ACTATAACTGTCAGTTGTTGTAGATGCGATGTCGTATCTTCTGGTTGAGACATCTTTACTCGACATGTTGAAAACTGCATGTTGGAACATCCTACTCAACATATTACTGCCAAGTTGATTTTACTAAAATGTACGTCAATCATAATTTCATAGAAATAACAGCATTCATAGAATGATTTGTGATACTTCGATATTCATGTCGAATCTGAGCTGTTACCTGAGCAATGCTACATCATTTTAATATGTGCTTGGTTTTTTCTGTTATCTTCAAGTCTTTTGTCTTAACACTTTTTAGTTTTTATAGATCGACTTAAATGACACTGCTTATCGTGATGTGTTTAGTGGTGGTGCTATAATGACCATGTGGCTAACTTTAGTTGTCATTGGTGCTATTGATTCTATCCCAGTTGAGTGTTTCTGTTAAATCATCTAAAATTTCTAATTTTAAAATCAACTTTATTAATACTAACCTTATCTGGTTCATTCTTATGCCAGATTCCCAAACTGTTTGAGGTTGTAGGGCTCGGATATGACTCTCTTATAAGATTGATGAAGGGGCTTTAACGTTTTTTATGCTATCATAAAATATTATTATTGTCCTAATTTTGAGTTGTAATTATTTTATCAACTTATGTGAAATTCATCGTGTTCTCTCGGAGCCACCAGAAATATGGAACGGTGGCGTCGGATTCGTATCCAAGGGAATGATCCAAACACACTTCGATGCACCTGCATCATTGATATATCCTGGATTGCTTAAAATAATAATTTGTTCAACTTTTGTTAGTGCTATTACATTGTAAATAACTTCTATTTGATAATGTTCGTTACACTTTAATGCTATAGCTGCATTTTCACAGGAAAACATGTAGAAAGGTACTTTAATACTATAAAAGTTCGTTTGATTGCTATCGCTTATCTCACCTACTTACCTTATCAGTCTACTAAATTATCGATTTGCAACTAACAAATTATTTATTGACCAGATTAATATAGAATAATTGTGAATCACGTTACATTTTGAAATTAAAATTATTATTAAATTTATTAATTTAGTGTTTCGTACTAAATTATTAAATTCAAAACTAACATATATTAAGTTTCTATATAATTAATAAAATATATATTTTTCATCATAATTAATTTTAATTATTTTCTTTTCTATTGATAATTTACTATTTATTTTAAAATAAACATTTCTCTTATAATAGATGTTTTTATATTTTTGGGAAACTTAACTTTATTAAAATCATTATTGGTATTTATATTTTAAATTTGTATAATTGATTTTTTTATCTTACACATCACTATACCAGATTAATAATCTGTTTTATTTAAATTAATAATTTTTTTTAGAAATAAGTTATTATTTTTTAAATATTATTTTTTCTTCATTTCACAGTTCTTTATTTTTCTTATTATTTAATATAATTAAATCTATATGAATATTGTTCATTTTATAAATAAGTAAATTATTTTAAATTTTGCATTTATATCTAAAATTTTACATTTGCATAATTATTTTTTATGTATAATTAATGTACATAATCATTAATACAAAAAATTATGAATGACACTTACGCATATTATTCATATCATTCAAAATATACTACATCAAATAAAAGAATACCTGTGCAGCAGCACGAGTCTCTGACTAGTTCATAATGATAATAATAACATAAAGAAAAAATAACATATATTCCGATTAACGAATGATGTTGGTCAATTGCAATCGGTTTGTAAAATATGCAAGGGTCACTTATCTTTTACTGTCGGTATTGACACCGTGGTCCCCTTCTCATGTTGACTTAGATGACATACCGATAATTGCAAACCTTGTCGGCTTTACCCGAGATAGAGGATTTATCGGTGAAGTTAACTTGTAACTCGCCATCAATTTTTGAGAGTCAAAGATCTTCCTACCCTCTGCCCCGGTACCTTCATCATAGTCTGGTACGTGTGTCGGCGTGGTGATTTTATATTTCAATGGCGCCATCAGAAGTTTGATTTTCATAATATAACGATGGTGTCAGTGTAACTTCCGAATGTATTTACTCTGGGAACACCATGTTTGGCGTGGGCCTCAGTAAAAAGGATCTAAAGGGAATGATTGTTGTTTTTGGTTTCTCACTCAAGGGTTAAGGTTCGTTGGAGGAGATTGGTGATTGGTGATAACGTCACCACATGTGACCGGCTGCAAACATATGGAGATGGCGTGAAAAGGAGATTCAGTTCTTTCCGAAGGAACGATTAAAAAACCATATGTCAAAGCTCGATGTAAACACACTGATAAGGATGAATCTTAAGTCCCAGGCCAGTTTTACTTGAAGCTGGTTAGGGGAATCATAAAATTAGGTGATTTTTAGTTTTTTAGGTGTTTATGGGAGGTAAGGAGTGGTAGTCATTGTAGTGCTGCCAAGGTTTTTTTTACTGTGTTTATGCGTGTAAGTATTTTCTCCTCCTCTTGGACCTCTCCTTTTTATGTTATTTATAGGCCTTTTATACACTAGCCCGAGTTTAATTGACCTAATGACTATTTAATCATTTAGAAACAATTTCGTAACACTCTCTGTTTTTATGGGAGAATATTGTAACGGATGAAAAAGACCCTTTGGATTTTGTAAAGGCCAGAGTTCAAGACGGGAAGCCCATCCTGATTATTCGACCCATCCCGGTCTAAAAATATGAAATGTTCATAAGTGGCGCTGTTTATATATATATCAAAAAATTTGGGATGTACAAGTGGTGTTAATCTCTGGTGCAACGATGTGGGGTGGACCTGTAAGGTTAGCACTCCAACGTTTGAGTCAGTTCAAGATTCAAGATGAGTGTACCTTAGGTCAAGTGGAGTGGATTTTATATTAGTTGGGACTCAACTATTTGGGCCTTTGGCCAGCCCAGAACAGTTGCCCCCAAGAGTTTTCCAGGCAATAAGAGAGTCAGAGAAGCCTTCAGTGATTTTGACCGGCCTCTAAGATTGTCGTCCGGGTGAATAAGAAGTGAAACGCTTGAAGTTAGTTGAAAAATCTAAGAGGGACAAACGTTACATTACCTACTCCCAAAATGTTACCCTAGGTATATACGCTAGGGAATAATTCCTCTACTTAAGGCACTTGAGTATTTTCGGCTCTCCTGCCTACTTGATGAGAATGTGTATTTACAACCCTTGGATTTGTAACTTGTCTTTTACATAGACCACTGAATTTAGATTGATTCCTCTATAAAAATAGTTTTGCCCCCAAAGATTATTTTTGCTCCCATGTTTCTCTTTCATAATCTCTCATTTTTGGGCTTTAGTTATTGAAATTCTTGCTCCAACTTTAGATTATTTGTCATGTTTTCCATCCTCTTTTACATGTACATTAATCCCTCATCATTTGTGGGAACGAGGTTCACTCCATTCAATATCTAGGAGCCAATCCTTTTCACCAAAGTTTGATTGTTGCTAATCTTATAGACCCGTTTGTAATGCAGATACATGATTCAGCCACTCCGATGGCGACGACAGTTGTAGAAGATTATTATTGGGTAGACCCAAAGTATTTGGAAACTCCTTCTAGATATATCCTAAAGGAAGATGAGATGGTCACTTCTTTTAAAGTGGGGCCACCTTCGGATTGGGTAATCTCAACCATCCTTGTAGGAAAATGGGTGTTCCATTAGTTTGAAAGGTGTACTATTCCCTTCTACAACCGTATCTTCAAGAAATTGGGTATCCTACTACCTTTAACTACCTTTGAAAATGAGATGTTGGATCATCTTCTCATTCCTCCTTCAAAGCTTCATTCTTGCATATAGGGCTTCTTTAGGGTTTCTCAATACAAGTATGAGTACTAAGGAAACCTGGGTTGAGCTTCCTTGAACCTCTTCTGCCACCTTTTCAAGGTTAATCTTGTCTCAAACAGGGTGGAAAATATGGATTTTTTTCTCTTCATCGTGCCAAAAATGAAATCTTATATGTCTATATGGAGAGCAGGAAAAATTTCAAGGAGGATTATTTCTTGGCTACTCCCTTTTTAACCCTCGCACACGCCGAACTCTCTATTGTTCGTGGTCCTTTGCAGAGACGACCGCCTATTTTTGACCAGAGAAGACAATTCTGGCCCCCGAACCATTTCAAAAAGAAAGCTAAATATTATTGTGTTCCATACGAATCCCTCACCGACATGGAGAAGGCCATGAACTATATTTTTGCTTTCTTTCTCTAACTCAGATACATTGTTAGGTCATTGCTGAGACAGGATCTGTTGAAGGGAGAAAGAAGCTTTTTTATGTCCTCTTTCTCTGACGTGGAGAAGGCCATGAACTATATTTTTGCTTTCTTACTCTGACTCAGAGATACACTATTAGGTCATTGCTGAGACATGATCTACTGAAGGGAGGAATAAGCTTTTTGGTGTCCTCTTTATTCCTGCTGTATTTGTAACCGATGAACTCGTACCATTTCTTTGTTGCTGATTCTTCCTTTTTTCTTTAGATGACTTAAAGAAGAATAATACATATTTTGTTCATGTCGTGTCAGCGCAAGATTCTGGGGCTCCCTTGGTTGTGCTGGCACCCTTAGAGGGTCAGAGCAAGAAGAACCACAACCGACTTGCCCTGGCCGGAGCTAAAAAGGTATGGGGTAAGGCAGTTAACTGGGAAGTTCTACTAAGAAGTTGAGGAAGCCTTGGATATTCCTATTATCCATGTGAGGAGTACCCCACTCCCAATTTCCCATGTGTTGAATGTTCACTTATTGTAGACCATGGAGGAGATGAAAATTGCATGTTTGTTGATGATTATGCCCACATATTTGAGCTCTCCAAGTTCGGAAAATCTAACATGTTGGCAGAGACGACTTACCAGGTGTTCCAGGATGCTTCACTCTTGAATATCTTGCTTCTAGCCACGTAAAAATTATATTCCGCAGTACCCCTTATTAAGGGTTTGATGATTCAAAAGCTCGTTACACTCTGACTAAGGCGAAAGTTGCTAGCTTCGAAAGGGGCTTCTCTGGGATGCGTATCCATTTGGATGAAGCTTCTTCTTTCTTGGAGGAAGTGAAAATATGTGGGTCCCCTATGACCTTGGTCGGTCGCATAATGGAACTTGAAAGGTTACTCGAGGAGAATAAGCAGGACCCTCATCAAATAAAGCTTAAGTTGAAGACTCCATCTTTTGTTGCCCAGGATGCTAAAGCAGAGCTTGAGGAGAAGAGGGCTGCCCAATCCAAGGAGTTAGGGGTTCCCCAAGAGGAGTAAGCCACATTAAAAAACCAGATGCGGTATCTCTCGAATGATGATTTGAAAGATTCTACCTTTCACACTATCTTGGGCCAGCAGTAGTCTCTTGTGCCTGACCTCCAGGATTTTCATGACTCTTTCTCCTTTGTTTGATTCTGACTTGTTGTTTAATATATTAATTGATATTCACTATATCATTATCTTTTGTGCTTGCTCTCTATATTTAGTGTTTGTTTGCATGTTGTATTTAGAATTCGTTGTATTAGTGTATTTGTCTGTGTGTTCTATTTAACATTTGTTTTATTAGTGGTGACTCTGAAATTCACTGATTATTTGACTTGATTTGCATACAATTTCTAGCTATTTCATTTTCATTTTTATCTTTATGTTGGTATTTTCCATTTGTTTTAGGAATTTGACTAATCGGGAGCCACGAGCGAAGAAACGAGGCGAAAGGGACAAGAACAAAGAAAAAGAGCAAGTATTGAAGCATGGACACCTCCATGGCAACCATCCTAGGGTAGCCATGAGTGGTCCAACCATGTTCCAATGGCTGACCAATTCATGCCCACTTAGTGAGCATGGCGGTCTCCATGAAGGGCGTGGCAGTCGCCACTCTTTGTATGACCAGGCGGTTACAAATGGGCTTACTTAGCCACCAAGAGTCCATCCATGCCTCCTATTTTTTCTCCACGACTAGAAATGGTTCTAGGTGACTTTTAGGGCTTTTAGAAGCCTATAAATACCCCTAGCTACACTCTTTTTATCATCCTTTCTTTTATGCACACATAGGCCACACTCTGTCCAACCGTAGCCAGATCCCTTCACACAGAAGCGTATCTTGTTGCATGATAAGTTCGTATTGAAGATTGGAGCACCTGTACAAGTTTCATTTCTACACTTTTACGTCAGCTTATTTGTACCGAATTAAGACTTCATTTGGAGCAGGTTTCTTAATTTATTTCCTCATTTACTTTATTTTCCCCACATTATTTATCACTTTATTTATCGCATTTACTTCTATCACACAGTTTATTTTCATGTTTACTTTCGCACTTAAAACATTTATCGCTTTATTTTCAATTACCATGTCCGGCTAAATTCTTAATGCTGAGATGTAAGGATCGTCAATAGACAATGATCTACACATGGTATTTGTAGGATTTCTTAATGGGATATTTTTAATTTAAGTACAATCTTTCTGCACTTATTTTAATCTGCTTACACGAAAGTGAAGCACTATAACATTGTGTAAGATTGAAAGTCGTCCAACACAAAAATATTAAGATTGATTTGTTTTTGGTTAACAAATACAGCAAAAGCATTTTGCTAGTTAATTAGGGTTATTTAACATTGCTAGTAGGAGGTTTTAAAACTATTTGCGGACGCGTTTATAGGGTTAGGATCTGGTTAATTAGGGTTATTTAACATTACCAATGGGGCATTGAACGAACACAGGAAGAGAAGAAAGAAGCAAAAAGAGGTATATATGAAGTTATCAGTCTTGACCATATGAATGCCAAGATGGATTCCCTAACCCAAAAGATCGAAAGTTTAGTAATAAAACCCTCAACTACCAAAGTTGTGGTGCAACCCGAATGCGAAATATGTGGAACCCAAGGGCATATCATTGTTGGTTGCAGTTTAATAGCCGAGCCTAGCTCAGACCAAATCACTACGCCCAAGGAAACCCTTATTCAAATATATATAACCCTGGATGGAGGAATCACCCTAAATTCTCTTACAAAAACAACAACGCTACATACCCTCAAAATTATTCACCTCAGAGATCACAAGGATTCCAAAACCAAAGACCCACACAACCAACCCAAGCTGTAACACAAAAATCAAACCTGGAAAAGATTATGGAGAATTTCATATCAGCACAAACTCAACAAAATAAAGAATTTATGAACCAAAATGTTCATATGAATGAGATGATTACACAATTAGGAACCAAGGTTGATTATGTGATAACTCATACTAAGATGTTGGAAACCCAGATCTCTCAAGTATCACAACAACAAGTTGCTCAAGCTACACCAGGAGGATTGTTTTTTGGACAACATCAACCTAACCCAAAAGGTCATGCTAATTCCATTTCGCTCTCAAGCGGAAATCAATATAATGGTCCTATAAACCCTAGGTTGAATAATAGATTCGAGCAACCAAAAGAAAAAGTTGTGAGTACACCTGAGAAACAAACTGAGGAACCTATAGAAACTGAAAAGCAAAAAGAAAAAGGACTAGAAATAAGAGAATGGAGAGTGACAACCAAGAAAGTCAACCTTACGTACCACCTTTACCCTAGGTACCACCTATCCCATTTCCACAAAGACTTAAGAAAACCAAGCAAGATGCCCAATACAAGAAGTTTGTGAAAGTGATTTAAAGACTACATGTTGAGATACCATTTACTAAAGTTATCACCCAAATTCCTAAAATTCATCCTAACAAACAAGCGCAAGCTTGAAGATCCAAAACCATTAGAGTGTAATGCAATTGCTGAGAATAGGTTATCTAAAAAGCATAAAGATCCTGTAAGCTTCTCTATACCATGTGTTCTTGGAAAAAATGTCATAGATAAAGCACTTTTGGACCTAGGTGCAAGCGTAAGCTTGATGCCTCTAGCTGTATGCAAAAGATTAAACTTATGAGATATGCAGCCTACCCGAATGTCCCTTCAGCTAGTTGATTGATCAGTTAAATACATGATGGGTATATTAGAAGATATTCCAGTTAGGATCGGTCAACTTTATATCCCTACAGACTTTGTAGTTATGGACATTAAAGAGGACGAAAAAATACCAATACTTTTAGGTAGACCATTCTTATCAATTGCAGGAGCTATGATAGATGTCAAAAGAGGAAAAATGACATTTGAAGTAGGTGATGAAAAGGTAGAATTTATCCTATCCAAATTTCTACAAGCACCCGCCTTGGATGACTCATTTTGTACTGTTGATATCATTGAAGAATGCATCAGAGAATTGGATAAGGAAAACCCGTAGATACAATGAAACTACCATCTACCCGTATAATATAAGATGATGAATTCAAATCTTATACACCATATATAGATGACAGCCTTTACGAATGTTTAGCACTTACCCCAGATCATATGCCTGACCTTACGAAACCAACAATAGAGCTTAAGGAATTACCTAAGAACCTGAGATACGAGTTTCTGATAAAGAACTAAATCGACATGTAATAGTTAGTGCAAGATTAAATAATGAAGAAAATAATCAACTCTAGATATCTTACATAAATATCCCGCAGCTCTAGGTTACACCATATCCGATTTGAAAGGAATAAGCCCATTCGTATGCATGCACCAGATCATGCTAGAAGAAGACTCAAAAACTTCTAGAGAACACCAGAGATGGATAAACCATATAATGAGTGATGTGGTAAAAAAGGAAGCGTTGAAATTACTTGATGCTGGAATCATTTACCAAATTTCAGATAGCCAGTGGGTTAGTCTTGTACACGTAGTACCAAAGAGAGGCGGTGTCACGGTTATGAAAATGAAAAAGGAGAATTTGTAGCCTAACACATAGAAAGCGGGTGGCACATGTGCATTGATCATAGAAAGCTAAACAAAGTAACTAGGAAAGACCATTTTCCTCTTCCCTTCATAGACCAAATGTTAGAACGTTTAGCTAGACACTCCAACGATGTTTTGGTTTCTTCCAAATCCCTATCCACCATGATGATCAGAAGAAAATAACCTTCACATGCCCCCATGGAACATTTTCCTATCGAAGAATACCCTTTGGATTATGTAACGCACCTGCGACCTTCCAACGATGTATGATGTTAATATTTGTTGATTTCTTGCACGAGATCATGGAAGTATCCATGGACGACTTCTCTGTATGTTGATCTGATTTCAATAATTGCCTTGATAATTTGGAGAAAATCTTAGAAAGATGCGTGCAAGTCAATCTCGTACTAAACTAGGAAAAATGTCACTTCATGGTCACAGAAGGCATAGTTCTAGGACATATAGTATCAGAAAGAGGAATTGAGGTTGACAAAGAAAAAAATAAAACTATAGAAAACCTGAAACCTCCGAAAATGATAAGAAAATTTTGAAGTTTTCTTAGACATGCCGGTTTTTACTGATGTTTTATTAAGGATTTTTCCAAAATACCCAAACCTTTAACTGGCCTCATAATAAAGGATTCCGAATTAATATTCAATAAGAAATATTGTTGTACCCCAAAATTTTCCCTCCCATTTTACTCAACATATGTTCATTGAGACCCTCAACTTGCTCAAGGATACCCAAGAGTTGACCAGATAAACTCTCTCCTAAAGCAATGAACCTCCAACTAGGGTTTCCATTTTCATCAAGATGGATGAGCTCCAAAGGCCTCATTGCTCTCCATAGTCCTAATGTGTCCTCAAGATCATCCATGCTAAGTTTCATTCCTTGCACAAGAAGTTTGCTCAGTCAACGGCTCAGATGCTTGAAAATCAACTGTATTAGGTCAAAAGTCAAATGTGGCCCACATGCAGTCAAACTTCAATATTTTTGGTCAACATCAACATTTTGAAGTAATATTCATCATTTGATCAAAGGTTGATCATGATTCCTCAAGAAATGCTCTTAATTCATCAAAACTCAAAAGTTGCTAAATTAGGGTTTTTGAGGAAAAGTCGACCAAACTTTGACCAAGCATAACTTTCTCATACTTCATCAGAAATTTCCCATCCAAGGCTCATTTTGAAGAGAATCCAATTCCCTACAACTCATCTTCAGTCCTCAAGTTCAAGAAATTCACCCATGAAAAGATATAAATTCAGACATTATAGGTCCTTTTCAAAAGTCAACAAAAACACCTTTTGGGTCAAAGCTCCTTACATGAACATGGAAGATCTAATTGATATGAAACCGAAAAGTTTGCTTAGGGGACATCCTAAGCTTTCTAAAAAGTCCAAGAACACCCTCTTAGGGTCAAAATTGAAGGAGATATGCATTGTCAAAGTTGGCCATTTTTGGAAATTTG